GCAGAAAATGCAAAGGTATGTGGACCGTTTAATGAAGCTGAATGTGAACTTCCCCGAGGAGTTAGCAATAGATATCATTTTGCACTCCTTACCATCGCTTTATGATCAATTCCGCATGACATACCACATGAACATGGAAGAAGTCACCCTCAGCAAACTTCAAGGACTCTTGAAGACCGCCTAAAGTGGTCTTAAAGGTAAGTCGGTTGTTACCACTCCTACTCCTACTCCTACTCCAAACTCCGCACCTGTCCTGGCAATTGGGAAAGGTAGAGGGAAAAAGAGGAAGAAACCTTCGAAGGGTACCAAGGGTAAGACCCTTGATGGCTCCTCTTCAAGCGGAACAAAGAAAGGTTTCGTCACTCCTTCTTCTGATCCCAAAGAGGCTGAATGCTTCTGTTGCCATGAAAAGGCACACTGGAAGCGGAACTGCCCGAAGTACCAGCAAGATTTGAAGGATGGGAAAGTAAAACCCAACCATGCAAGTATTTACACTATATTATCTAATAACTCACCCAATTCTAAGTCTTAGGTCCTTGATACCGGCTGTGGTATTCATATTTGTTTTGATTTGCAGGGACTAAGAAGTGAGAATGTGGAGCATGGAAAGATAAACTTGATCATGGGGAATAGGAAAGTTTCAGCTGTCACCAAGATTGGAGTTTATACTTTGTTGCTAAGTAGTAGGTTTACTTTAGATTTGAATAAATGTTGTTATTCGCCTGAAATGGAAAGAAATGTTATTTCCTTTCATGCTTTGTACAAACAAGGGTTTACCTTTTCTTTTGATAATGAAGTTGGTGGAATAAATGCTTTCTTTAATAATGTGTTTTATTTTAAAGCATTACCTTGTGATGGTGTGTCTGAAGTTGTGTCTGTTGTAGATAATTTAGGAAATAATGTGTTGTGTATTGATTCTACTAATGATAATAAATTGGATAAAGCATCATTATGGCATTTTCGTCTTGAACATGTAAGCAAGAAACACATAGGCCAACTCCAAAAGGATGGAGTCTTGGAGTCATTTGACCTAAAGTCAGATGATAGTTGTGAATCATGCTTACTTGGAAAAATGACAAAGTCACCCTTCACAGGTTCTTGTGCAAGGGGTGAAGGTTTGTTGGATCTAGTGCACACATATGTGTGTGGACCCTTCAAAACTGCCACAAGGGATGCTAATCGTTATTATGTGACTTTTACGGATGATTATAGTAGATATGGATATGTCTACTTAATCAAGCATAAGTCAGAGACTTTCGAAAGGTTTAAAGAGTTTTAACAGGAAGTCGAGAAACAATTGGGTAGGAACAATAAGATGCTTCGATCCGATCGTGGTGGTGAGTATCTGAGTACAGAGTTCCTCGACTATCTTAAGGAATGTGGGGTTGTCTCACAATTGACACCTCCCAGGACACCACAGTTGAATGGTGTAGCTGAGAGGCATAATCGAACCTTGTTGGACATGGTTTGTTCCATGATGAGTCGAGCTTCGCTACCAATCTCATTATGGGGATATGCCTTAGAGACTGCGGCCCATATCCTTAATCTGGTCCCTACAAAAAAGGTTGCCAAAACACCTCATGAGATGTGGACTGGAAAAGTTCCTAGTCTAGCCCACATCAAGATTTGGGCTTGCGAAGCTTTCGTGAGACACGAGACTCATGATAACCTCGAACCTCAAAGTGAGAGGTGTATTTTCATCGGCTACCCATAGAAATCCTTTGGTTACCTCTTCTACAGACCTAGTGAGAATGTGGTCTTTGTAGCAAGGAGGGGTGTCTTTCGAGAGAGAGAGTTCATAAGCCAAGGAAACAGTGGGAGGTAAATTGACCTTGAAGAAATTCAAGAGTCAAGTGGTGAAGGAACCTCAAACCCTAGCAGTCAACTTGAGGAGGAAACTCCTGTTGATCCAATTGACAAGTATGTACCTCTAAGGCGTTCCACAAGGGTTAGGAATGCACCTGAGCACTACTATGGTTTCCATATTACAGCAGAAGGTAAGACACTTATCAGCTATGAGACACTGGTAAGTCTGGATGAACCTAACAGCTATGCGGAAGCCATGGCAGGCCCCGAGTCTGCTAAATGGAAAGAGGCAATGGACAGCGAGATACAGTCCATGTATGACAATTAATTTTGGAACTTGGTTGAAAATGTACCAGGTCGTAAGACAGTTGGGTGCAAATGGATCTTCAAGAAGAAGACCGCCCTGGATGGTAATGTACACACCTATAAGGCGCGACTAGTTGCAAAGGGCTTTTCTCAAACTCCAGGAGTTGATTATGATGAGACCTTTTCACCAGTAGCCAAGATTAAGTCTATTAGGGTATTGTTAGCCATTTCTGCATTTCATGACTATGAAATATGGCAAATGGATGTCAAAACCGCTTTCCTTAATGGAAAGTTGGCTGAGGATGTTTACATGAGTCAGCCTGAGGGTTTTGTCAGTACAGAGAACCCTAATAGAGTGTGTAAGCTTGAGAAATCCATTTATGGATTAAAGCAAGCACCTCGCAGATGGAATCTTTGCTTTGATGAGAAAGTCAAAGAGTTTGGCTTTTCGAGGAGTCAAGATGAATCTTGTGTATATGTCAAGGCTAGTGGGAGTATAGTTAGCTTTTTGAGACTGTATGTGGATGACATACTACTCATAGGAAATGGCATCCCAACCGTGCAGGAAGTGAAGTCCTGGCTTGGGAAGTGTTTCGCTATGAAAGACGTAGGAGAAGCTGCCTATATTCTAGGTATTAGGATTCTGAGAGACCGGAGTAAAAGACTAATTGGACTTAGTCAGAGTACATACTTGGATAAAGTGCTGAAGAGATTCAGCATGCAAGATTCCAAGAAAGGAGAGTTACCCATCCAAAGTAACGCTAGATTGAGTAAGACTCACAGCCCGAGTACCGAGGTTGAGATAGCAGAAATGAGTCGAGTACCTTATGCTTCAGCTGTAGGCTCGATCATGTATGCTATGACGTGTACTCGTCCTGATGTCGCCTTTGCTTTGATCATGGTTAGCAGGTATCAGGGAAACCCTCACTACTAGAAAAACAGCCTTTTACGACGCGCAATGAGTGTCGTAAAACGCTCAGACGACGCGCAAATGCGTGTCAAGGAAGGCCCTGTCATAACGAGAGATGACATGCTTTTGCGTGTCGTCTATTTACGACGCGCATTTACGACGCGCGTTTATGACACGTATTTACGACGCGCAGTTATGACACGCAATGCGTATCAAGGAAGGCCCTGTCATAAAGGAAGACGACACGCATTTGCGTGTCGTAACCTTACGACGCGCGTGTTTATGACACGCAATGCGTATCAAGGAAACCCCTGTCATAAAGGAAGACGACACGCATTTTTGCGTGTCATAATTTTAAATGTTTTTAAAATTATATATTTTTGATAGATTTACTAAATTTCAAATTAAATAACACATTAAAAGTCTAATAATACAAAACAAAAACCATAAACAATAAAGATAATTCATTGCACTAATATGTCAAATACAAATAATCATTCCAATAATAAGTAAATGTAACACATTGCTAATATTGCATAATATTTATTATAGAAAACAAAACATGTACAACATTAAAAGAAACCCATGACTAAATTCTCCTTTGACAATTTCCTTTCTAAAAGAATAACCTGAATAGATAAATTGCAGTGTAGTCTATAACAGGCTCTGAGATAAAGTTGGTTGGCCGTGAATACCATTCTGGATCTTCTTCCTACTCGAAAGATAAAGATAAAGATAAAGATAAAACAAATTAATCAAGTTTCTAGATAAATATTTGCAAACAAACTCGTGGAATAGATAAATTATTATATCGATATATCAAAAAGGTATTGGTATACATACTTGAACATGTATTAACCATTTTAATAAATTGAAGCAATTTGGCAAATGTCATATAAACACCAGATTTAGCAAATAGCATAGATCAGATTCCATATAACTAAATAATTACTTTATTTTGGATTTCAATTTTGAAAATTAAAATATCGATTAATTCCGTAAAAATCACAAAAATCTCAAATAAATGGATTATTTCATTTCAACCTATAATTACCTTACTAAAGAGAACAGTTTGAACCATTGATGTCAATATCTGAACCTTGTTGAATGGAGTCCTTTCCAGGGGTAAACTTACTATTTATCATAGTTTTTGCATGGTAACTATCATGAAGCAGACAGAGTATTAGAAAGATAACAATTGTAAAAAGGAAAAAGGACCTGCAAGTGTAGAAGGATGCTTTGATTTCATTGGTATTACCCATCCTTTTGTAATTCACCTTTCAAAACTCTAAAACAAAATAGAAGAATACTCATTAGATTCAAAAATAAACATTAGTTAGTTTGACTCAAAATCGACACCTAAGTTTTTTTATTATTCTTATTTGGCATAGAATAAAATGTGGTTATGGATTATACATTGAGGAGCTCTCCCATATTAGTAAAATCAACATATACATCATAGATACTAACTATTATCTAGTCACATAATTAGTATTAGTATGTCTGCTATATGCAATGACCAAGAATGGAATAAACAAGGTACAAATTAAACAAACTAATAGAACATTATTAAAACCCAAATAAGATTATAATAGGAAAATATGTCTTCTATATGCAATGACCAGGAATGGAATCCAACAGCCAGGAATGTAATTAAGTTTTTTACTCAAATCTAATCATACAACCAAAATAAGTCCAACTCAATAACAGAGTTATCTGCTTCCAGAAATTGTAAGGAGGAGAATCTTAATCTTACCTTTTGAAAAGAGGCTTGCAATGTCCACTTTAGGCTTTTCCTCCTCAGCATCACCTTCTGATTTTTTTTTAAATTACACAAAAACTTAGTCAAAGACAAACCACTTTAAAAGATGATAAACAAAAACAATGTGAAAAATAATAAGAATAATACCCAAATCCTCTACATCATCCGGGTTGTTTTCTTCATTCTCCACTATTGCATTACCAACATATACTGGCTCTAGCATTGCTTGAACCCGTTTTTTGGAGCTTTATTAATGCCTGGAAGTGTGATCAAATCTGCTATTCGTATCACTCGTGTCTTGCTTCCTTTATTGTATGCCTTTGTCAGTGCAGCTTTTACAGCAGGTTGCACACCCTCAAGTAAATTAGGTCGCCCCTACACACATACAATAAGAATTATAAATTTATAATCCAAGTGAATAGAAAACCACAACTTGTTATTTACCTGAAACTTGGACATGAGCATCAGTGACTCAAAATCCTCCTGACTAATGGAGTATGCATCCATAAACTCAACAACCTTTTCAACACCTTCATCCTGCCAATTAATTACCCAACACCAACATTTAATAAAAAGAAACACTTTTAAAAAAAAATAAAAATAAAAAAATCACTTGTACCTTTGGCAGTGTCTTCAATGGATCAGTCATGTGCTTAAGTAGAAGAGACAGATAATCGAGACACATGGTTGACTGATACTGATTCATAATTGTTAGGCCTTGATATAAATAAACTAGGAATATTACATGTGCATTCTAGAAGGGGCAGAAGGGCAAAAATGGAAAGTGGCTATAAAGTTAGTTAGAGAGAGAGAGTAGAATAAAGAGGGAAGAGTACCTTCATTTTGGGGATAGCGATTAGGATTGTTCAATGTTCTTGGCTCTTATCATTTAGCTAGTGAGAGAGGGGGATTCCCTGGGATTGTTTGAGGTTCTTGCTTCATTCAATATAGTTTGTAATTCTTTTCATTAGATTCAATGCTATCATCTTCTTCTTCTCTGATTCTTCCTGTTTCTCTTTAGTTTCATTAACTATTGATTTCTATTTCTCATCATTGACCTACACCAGTTGACCAAAATTATCAAACTGTTACATTTCGGAGAAAAAACCAAAAAAACACTCAATAACTTATTCAGAAACTATATATCACCTGCCCAAATTGAATTGTAGAGAAGCTAGAAGATGAACATGAGCATCTTCAAGAAGCCTATAATTCTTTCCCGTGGTAGAGTTCTTTCCAAGCCACCCCCCAAATCTGTTAAAGTTTCGTTCACCCTATATATAAAAAATAAAATAAGCCACGGTAAATATTTATATTTTTATATACATACATAGATTTATTTATATACCCAATTAAAGAACTTTTACCGGTTCAAGTGTTTCCCTTTGTCCACGTAGCAAAGCAGCCCTTTTTCAAACAAAATTTTTTTATCATCATCTACAATTATCCACATAACTAAAAATATTAAAACTAACTTACGGGATTATAGCTAACACAAGGGAGCTACTGTGCTATCAAGTTCAACCTCTTCACTTATGCCACTTTTATGCCACTTTTGGTATCTTCTTATCTATACCTTGATTATATCTCCACTTGCAATAGAATCAGCAACATGTGCTATCAAGTTCAACCTCTTCACACCATTATCATCTTTGCCAGCTATACTTGGCCTGTAGTTTATATAGTTTTCCTGAATCAAAATAGGTACTAAATCCGTATCACTCATGCTCAGATCAAACCGTTCATCCATCCGGAGCTTTTTCATCACTCTACCCAGAAGCTTCCCTTTCTTCCATTTTGACCCTGGGCTAGGTAAATTATCAGGCCTCCCTGGACTTCTTGGAACAGAAGGTGAAGTGGCTGCTGAATTTGACTGAGAAAAGGGTAAATAACTGGAAATTTTAACCACCGGAGGAAGCGGTAACCGGTGACTTTTCTTGTTTCACATCTTCTGACCGATCTGCCCCTCCCCTGCCCTTGGATGAAGTGGTGTTACTGACCCACTATGGATTCTAGAGCTAGGACCTGGACTTGTCATTTTAGGACTAGGAAGTGGAGAACACTCTGGGCTACCTCTACTTGGTTTCCAAAATAACCCTGCCATGTCACCTCCCATGGATGTTAATTTTCACTCTGTTATGAGTAGGAAGTGGAGAAGTTTCATTTTGTCTCATTCGACCAGTGAATATGGTCCACCTAAACAATGAAATTGTAGTGAATCATAGATTGAATAAATATCAATAAATCACAATGCTTTGAAAATAAAAATTAAAGAGTTGACCTCACAATTCTTAGAAAATAAGAATGCAAATGAAAAGGATTGAAGAAGAGTTAAGAACGGTAGGATTGAACAAACTATCACACACTACCTGACTTGTAACTAATTAAATACAACAAATCGAACCCTAAGGTGCAATAGAATCGAAGTAAACTCGTTCAAAAAATCAAACTGGGAAAATTATGATTCAAAAATCAAACCTGTGATGGAAATCAAAAATCTTACCTATGATGGAATCGTCGGCTGGAGTGGAGTCGACGGCTGTGTCTATGTCGGAGATGAAAGCCTGGCAGGAGATGGGTGTTGTCGCGTCGTCTGGTCTGGTTCGCATATGGGGGAGTGGAAGAAAGGGAGGCGTTTTAGAGCCTTTTTCTTGTTTTTGTTTTCTGGATACACTGAGTCCAGACTCGGTACGAGTCATACAGGAAGGGTGAAGAACTGGAAGAGGGAGTGGTTGAGCTTGAGGTCTTTCTTGAAAACTTTTACATGTTGCCACAAGTTTGGATTCTTTGGAAGGTGACGCGGATCTGGACTGAATCCTAGATAGAGACCCAATCTCTGAAACCGTGTCACTGCAACCTCTCCCGGAACCACCTGATTTTTGGTCAGAAGAGATTTGCGAATTGTGTCAATGATACTATCCTTGTTTGTAATCTTATTTGCTTCTTAAATCGTAATAACAATCTCTATGAAATCGCAGGTTGGGTTTTAGGTTAGAGAGAGAGAGAAGAAGACGAAGACCCTAGGCTTCTTTCTTGCTAATTGGAAGAGGAGCGGGTTTTAATTTTTCACATGGAATAGGCGGCATTTTAATTTTTGGGGATTTCATTTCCCGCTTAAAAGGCGTGTTTCATTAAAAAAAATATAAAGCAACACACTTACACGACACACATTTTATGATTGGCGTCCTCCGTAAATCTTTTTTTTTCTATTCTAACACAAATTTTAGGGCACGCGCAAATGCGTGTCCTTTATCCTTCAAATTTTATAAGAGATGACATTATTTTTAGGGGACACATTTTTGCGTATCATAAATCACTGTGTTTCATTGTTTGCGCGTCATTAAAGGTCTATTTTCTAGTAGTGCCTAGTAAGGCTCACTGGACGGCGGTAAAGAACATTCTCAAGTACCTGCGGAGGACTAAGGACTGGGTCCTTATCCTTGGTGGGAGTGATGACTTGAGAGTTGTAGGGTATAGTGATGCTAGCTTCCAGACTGATAAGGATAATTTCCGCTCTCAGTTGGGTTGGGTCTTTACCTTAAACGGAGGAGCAATTTCTTGGAAAAGTTCCAAGCAGGAGACAGTGGCTGATTCAACTTGTGAATCAGAGTATATAGCGGCAAGCGAGGCAGCAAAGGAGGCGATATGGCTAAAGAACTTCATTGGAGACCTTGGAGTTGTACTAGCTATAAAGGAGCCCATAGAGATTTTCTGTGATACTGAAAGTGCAGTTGCCTTAGCAAAGGAACCAAGGGATCACAGGAGATCCAGACAAATTGACACAAAATACCATTTCATCAGACATCGAATAGAGGAAGGACTCCTTGCGACAAAGAGGGTATCATCGGATGAGAACCCGACAGATCCCCTCACGAAGGGACTGGGTAGGGTTAAGCATCTTCAGCATGCAAGGCGGATAGGACTAAAGAATGATATTAGTTTTGGAGATTAGATAGTTTTTGAAATTTGTAAAGTGGAATTGACATTTGATGATGAAAAAAAGTTGTTGTTTATTTATGAGTAAAGTGTTGCTATCTTTTGTCAATCGTTTACTATTATTTCTTTTGCATGTTTTGACTTCCAGAATATCTATGTCGCGTTTTACATATTATTCAAATTATCCACAGTCAGTCATATGTTGGAAGTAGATATGAATTAAGACTGTCATGAGTTGGTTGTAGAGGTCTAAGATATTGGACATGGCCTCAACACTCATGAGTGCTCATAAGTTCTGAGTATTAGATTCAACCCACGCTCGCTGGTATCACTTCATGGAATTTATCTCGAGTGATCGCGAGACGGTAATATCATATAAGTCTTCAAACCTAGACATATGACTTGTTGTCTATGAGTTGGTTATGCATTGATCGTGCGAAAACGCATTGGTAACTCGATGTTATAAAACGTGCCTTTGTGTTTGATTTAACAAGTAGTAGAACAAGCATATGAGTCGAAGTTTATCTGTTCCTTCTTGGATTAGAAGCGATATCTGGGCCCCTCGATGTTTTTGTTTTGACCTATGTACCGGGCCCGGTCAGAACTAAGTTGATGTTTTCAATTAAGTTCTTTGTCAAACAAATCGGAAATCGGGAAACAAACCTACTGGACAAAAGTAAGACATTGTTCCATGTATTTGTCCGGCTGATATCTAGAACAGAGGATTATATGATCACTTATCTTAAATGGTGTATCATCATCTTCTCAGTTCCGAGAGACCTTGAAAAGAGCTATGATTGCTGATCGGTTCCTGAAGTCATACTTGCAGTTATAGTTATTAGACTTATCCAAGTGGGAGACTGTTGGATAAGGTGTCTAAGTCCATAACTATTTCTGGTATGTACTTGACCCGACCTGGCATGGTCCATTTGGGTTGCATGGCATCATGCAATTGGATCGCCTAAAATGAGAGAAATAACACTTATGGTTTATTAATATATTATAAGTTCTAATATATTAATAATATTATTTAATTAGTATTTATCAAGAATTAATCTAGAATTAATTAAGTGATCCAAAAGGAGACTAATTAAATATATGGGTTGATTGTGTAAATCATCCATACTTGTATAGTGGGCTAGATGCTCCATGGATTATCTAGTTGGGCTAAGGTCCATAGGATGCTCCATGGATGCTCCATGGGAGTTACAAACCCATGGGTCATGGAAATGAAGAGCCATGTTACATTAGGGTTTACATGGTGTATCCCTAATGCAACATACTATATAAGCATGCTTCTAGCAACCAAAATCGGCTACACTAGTGAGACAAGAGGTCAAGGCCAATTTCAAGTGTTAGACAATTCTCTCAAAGTTTATTCCAAGAGCATTTGGTGTTGTGTGAAACATTTGAGGCATCACACTTGGGGTGCTAGGCTCTCAAGGTTTTCAAGGAATCAAAACAACAATAAGGTATGCAATTCTAGCCATCTTTTATGATTAAAGTTCCCCATGTATGCTAGATAGGATTATGAACCTTGGAAAAAGTATTTTGCATGTATTTTAGACAAACATAGATACAAGGTTTTTCTAGGGTTGCATGTACACTTAGGAGTGTTAGAATGCTCAAAACCCATCATAAATAACATGCTTAAGTACCTGCGGAGGACTAAGGACTAGGTCCTTACCCTCGGTGGGAGTGATGACTTGAGAGTGACAGGGTATAGTGACGCCAGCTTTCAGACCGACAGAGATAATTTCCGCTCTCAGTCGGGCTTAGTATTTACCCTGAATGGAGGAGCAATAACTTGGAAAAGTTCCAAACAGGAGACTATAGCCGATTGAACGTGCGAATTAGAGTACATAGCAACAAGCGAAGAGTCAAAGGAGGCAATATGGCTGAAGAACTTCATCGGAGACCTTGGAGTTGTACAAGCTGTAAAGGAGCTTATGGAGATTTTCTGTGACAACGAGGGTGCGGTCGCCTTAACCAAGGAACCGAGGGATCATGGCAGATCCACGCACATCGACAGAAAATATCACTTCATAAGACATCGGGTAGAAGAAGGACTCCTCGTAGTAAAGAGGGTATCGTCAGAGGAGAACCCAACAGATCCCCTTACGAAGGGACTGAGTAGGGTTAAGCACTTGCAGCATGCTAGAAGTATCAGACTGAAGGACGATATTAGTTTTAGTGATTAGATAGATATTTTGAAACTTGTAATAGCTAAAATGTAATTGACATTTGATGATTGAATAAAAGGAGTTTTATTTATAAGTAAAGTTACTATCTTGTGTCAATTGTTTACTATTGTTTCACTTTTGCATGTCTTGACTTCCAGAATAATAAGATTATTCAAACTATCCACAGTCGATCATACTTTGGAAGTAGGTTATGAGGCCAGACTGTCATGAATAGGTTTGTGAGATTGTATAAGGTGTTAGACATAGCAAAAGTTTGCTACAACATTCATGAGTGCTCCTGAAATAAGAGTATTGGATTAAACCCTCACCCACATGAATCACTTCATGGAATTTATCATGAGTGATTGTGAGACGATAATATCATATAGTCTTCAAACCAAGATATATGAGTTGTTGACTACAAGTTTGTTGTGCACTAATAGTACGAAAACGCATTAGTAACTTGATGTTATAAAACCTGTTGTTGTGTATGATTTAACGAGTAGTTAGTACAAGCATATAAGTCGAAGTTTATTTGTTCCTTTTATCCTAAGAGGAATAAAAGCGATATCTTGGGCCCCTCAATGATTTTGTTTTGGCTTATGTGGCGGGCCCAGTCAGGACTCAATTGATGTGTTCAATTAAGTTCTATATCAAACAAATTAGAAATCGGGAAACAAACTACTTGAAAATAAGTATGACTATGTTCCATGTATTTTTCCGCATGATATCTTGAAGAACAGAGGATTATATGATCCCTTACCTAAAGGACGCGTCAGAGTTTGACAGCGGCTTTTTAGAGCTATGATTTCTAATTGGTTTTTTACTTACAATTATAGTTATTAGACATATCCAAGTGGGGGACTATTGGATTAGGTGTCTAAGCACATAACTATAATATATATGTACTTGACCCGATAGTAGCATGGTCCTTTTGGGTTGCCTTCACCAGAACAATTTGATAGGATAGATATTTGAGAAAGAGGCTATTCATGATTTATTAATATATTATAAGTATAATATATTAATTGAGAAATCATATTATTTAACTAGTATTGATCAAGAATTAATTTGGAATTAATTTAGTGATCAAAAGAGACTAATTAAACTAACGAGTACTGATTATGTAAATCAGTGATACATTAAGTTTGGGCTAATGATCCATGATTTATTTATGATGGACTAAGCTTATGTGAAAGTCCATGAAGTGTTAGTCCAAATGGGTTATTGGATCATAAGCCTAAGTGTATGAATTAGGGTTTACAAGTGACCCTTGGAATTCTACACTATAAATGTAGCCCCTAAGTCCCAAAATCGGGACACACAAGTATTCTAGCAAGAGTATAGTCGATTTTGGTGTTTCCAAGCTTCCTCTCATTGTCCTCCAATTGTTGGTGGTGTTTGTGACTTAAGAGAGGCATCACATTTGAGGTACTACGCTCTTCAAAGGCTAAGTGCAACAAGCTACAACAAGAGGTATTGTTCTGACT